CCGCCAGCCGAAAAGTGCACCAGGATCCTTCTGTATGGCAGACAGCTGCGCTGTGTCATCTGAGGACAGAGCTGATATCAAACAGACCTTGGAGAGCGTTGGCAACGCCGACAGCCGCTCCGGCAGGACGGAACTGCCAAAGTTCACGGGGTTTTAGGAGTCTTGCGGTAGCTGAGCAATTTCTTCATGTCCCAGCTCCAGCTGCCTTGGCTCAAACAAGAACTGCTGGTTCAAGAAAACAGATTTTTTTGATGATTTTAAAATAGTTTTTAAGCTGGTTGTGGAGAAAGAAGAGGCCTGCAGGTGGCCCTGCCGACACAGAAATCCAGGACTGCCGCCTTGGTGGTGCTGGGCTTGTTAAACCGAGGGTTATTTCAGGGCATTTCAAATTTAGCCTGCTCAGGGCCAAAACCCAGAGACTTTATCTCTGAGAAATCGGAGCTCCATTTGACAGCAAGCACGGTGCTCGTGTGCTTCAGACTGTCTGTCCTTTGCCTTGGAAGACCCTCAGGCTCCGTGGGAGCACCGGGCGCCCCAGCAGCCCACGCTGCTCTGCAGAAAGGTTACAGCACAGGCACAAGCCATCCCCGCGCCAACAAATTCTGCGACAGCCCTTATCAAAAGACGCACTGAGCCCTGCCCTCAGCTGGCTCACAGACACGGTTTGCCTTCTGTAAAACCTGGAGGCTGATGAAACACACCAGCAACAAAGCAAGCTGCTTCCTTCAGTCTGCAAAGAGCTGACCTCCCTCCTGAACTCGCTCCCCAGCAATTGGGTTTTTTCAGCTCCGGAAAGCCAGCATCAATGAGAACAGCTATTGACCAGGGACCCAAGTAGAAATTTCACCCCAGAAGAATCTGACTTAGGAAATTTATAAAAAACCAACAACAACTCCCAGGACTTAAAGGGCAAGTCCTGTTTTTTGCTTTCCGCTCGGGAGGCGACAAGTGTGTCAGCATTTTTTTGCCACACTAGTCACAAGACCGTAATATTGTTTCCCTGACTTCATTCGGTCTGGATCTATACATGCTCTTTTTCAGAGGGGCAAAAGGAGAACAGAAAATGCCGCATCCTACAAAAAATAGGGTGTGAGTCACTTGTTCCACACCGGGTTCAGGCCATCAGTGCCTCTCTGTGCCTCCAGCCTGGGACAGAGGAAGGACCAGACCACAGAGGCGACAGCAGATCGGTTTGCAGCTGAGTTAATGCACAGAATAAATCCCATCTGAGTAAGGAACGACCCAAAACCCAGGGAATAAATTCTCCCAAACACCATAGGATTGACTCCATTGCTGAAAGTGCCAAGAGATTGTTGACACCGGGAAGAGCAACTCACTTCTCTTTTAAAGAATAGGAGCCGCAGTAGCAAACCTCCCGTCTCCTTCAAGCAGAAGTGCTTCTTCCCAAGACAAATGACTTAGGCACTTCCATAAGTTACGTAAACAGGCATGAGAGACCACTTCTATTAAAAAAGCTCAGATGAAAGCCCAAGACAGCAGACAAATAATCTCAGAAAACATATATGGAAGCACCAAGACCAAACTGGACATCCCTGCTTGATGCCAGCCGGGATTTTTTCAAGGCTTTAGCCATTCTTCCCCATTTCCCTGGTGACTTACCAACCCCTTGGAGTTCAGCCACCGGTGCCAGATGTGATAACCCTGCAGCTCCCCGTGGATCCTCCCCAGCGGCGGCTTCACCCAGCGGATCTCCAGGGAGGAGCTGGATTCGTTGAACGACACCGTGACGTTCAGCGGCGGGGTGGTCGGAGCTGCAGGAATCACAGAGGAAGAAGGTGAGGGGAGCCGGGTGGACGGGTGCAGGGACACGGTAGGCTGATGGAAAATGAGCTGTAGCTCAACCAGAGAGCCCACGGTATTTCCTACAGCCTTTCATATGTCCAGCCCCTGGGTAGATTTGTCCCACCCTGTAAGCAACAATGCCTGTGGACCAGCATCTCACTCAGAGAGTCCTGTACCAACCGCAGCCACGCGACCGAGGCAGGGAAACCCTTCTCAGCCTTCGCTACTCATTTCCTACCTCCCTCGGTGGTGCTGGCCCTTATCCAGGGGCTAAACGCCGACCAGCCGACCTCGTTCCTGCAGGAAAGGCGGATGTTATAGTCCGCCATGGGCCCCAGCTGCTGGATGTGATACACGTGGGGAGGCACCGAGGTGTTGAAGAGCAGAAGTGAGACGTTGCTTCGTGGAACAGCTTCCTTGACCTTAATGGAAAAATCAGTCCACAAACAGTTTTCAGAGCGAGACACGAGGCAGGGGTTTTACATCTGTAAACAGGATCCACAGCCCTGCCTCCCACCCAAACACTGGCAGGGGCATGTTCCCACACAATGGCTTGTCTCTGCTGAGCAGCAAGCCGATGGCAAGCCCTTTGCAGGGCTCGAGGTGATGGCTCCAGCACCCGCAGGGAGAGTTGGGGTGGGGACATGGCAGAGATGTGTGAAAGGAGGAGGGAGGGCTGGTTTGCTCCTTCTCGTGGCATGGAGCAAAAAGAGCACCCAATAACATCACCAGGCAGCAAGTCCCACGCAAACCAAGTCCTTTCTCATGCCACACATCACTAGACCGCAGGGCTTATCACCATCAGATGCTGCGGGACTAATCACAGAGCTCATCAGACTCCATCATTCCATTTAGCAGTGCAGATGGATTCAATGTACTAAAAACAAGCCATGCTTTTTCCACAGAGAGGAACTGCTCTGTCCCCAAAGGGCTGGCTGCCGAGTGCCCACACAGCCCTCACAGCTCTCTGGAACATGTCTCATTTTGTGGGAAGCACCATGAGAGTGGCCTGGGATGGGATGGTGGGAGGAAAGAGGGAAGAGCAAGAAGGAGGCACACCAGTGCAAGCGGGACAGCTAACTCAGGAGACATCCCACTGGCCGTTTTGCAGCATGAACCACATCAGAAAGTCATACAGTCCTCTCAAAAGCCTCCACACATGGTTTTGGGGTGGCAGGAGAGCTGCCCTCCTACTTGAGGAACTCTCTGGGTAGCCCAGGCTGCACAGGATGGTCTCAGCACTGACACCAGCAAAAATTAAAGAGAATAGCCTTCGGCCTCACGAAACTGAGAAGGTCCCCAAGACACGATGTCTAGATGCTTTGAGGGAGGGGAGCAGCAATCAGAGGAACATGCAAGCCGCTTCTGAAATCACCCCTGGGACAGGCTGTTCCCATGAGCATCGAGCCTGGCTCAGCTACCTCCATCCTCAACTCGTCTTCTGGAGCGAATCCATCAGGCTCATGTATTTGTGAAAAATCAGTTTTTTTGCAAATTTGAACAGCTTGAGAATGCCAGGTGCGACAGCAGCAGCTTCCCTTTTCAGCACCGGCGTGCTCAGCAATGAGTCACTTTGTCGGTGGGCCATGCTGCCCAAGCGAGGGGATTATCAAAGGGGCCAGGAGCAAAAAGGCTTAGTCACCGCTGTGTTTTTGCCAGCAATCGTGTCTAGTTTTCCAATTCGAAAGGCTATTTCCTAATGGCAGACCGTGAATGTTAAGTCATAGGAAATTCCTTGGCTCTCCACCCCACTTCCCGAGCTCCAGCTGGACGTGACACTAATATTAGCTCTGATACCTCTCTTCCCTGTAGCTCCTTTCACTTTTACCTGCCTTCAAACATCGCCTCTCTCCACACGTTATCTCAGCCGGAGTATAGATTAGCCCGTATAAAACCATATCCACAAGAGAGCAAGCAACAGGCTTGACCTGTGCAACCCAGCAACACCAAACAGGCAGAGCAGGTGGAAACTACCTGCAGGGCTGTACCCATGGAGGTGGCATTCCTTGACCTGTCCTGGAGACAGGCAACCCCTCAGCTCCTTCCCAGTACTTGCTGAGAAAAGCCTCCGCCTCCAGACCCCAGTGGGAAGGCTGCTTGGTTGGGAAATGTCAGACCAGGAGGTGAAAGTCAGGACAAGCGTATGCCTGCAGCAGCAACTCAAGGCTTGCAAAGATTCCTGAAGAGCTGCTTGGAGCAGTTCTGGGCATCTCTCCACAAACATGCCAACCTGACTGTCCCTCCCGAGGGGAGAGGTTCTTGCAGCTCGCTCCTGCACACTTCACAGGCATGAGCCCAAGCGCAGCATCTTCCGAGCCTCCTGTCCACCTCGACGGTGCTCTGGCTGCCCCAGGTCCCAGCATCTGGGGACTCTGCTCAGCTTGCACTCCTCAGCATCACACTGCCACAAATCCCCAGCCAGCTGGACCACAGGCAGTGCGCCTCCTTCCCCTTTCAAAGCCACTGGGTAAGTCCAACTCAGTGCTGCCCAAACCACCAGCCTGGCTGAATCCATGCAGTGATTTCCGCCTGCCTCGGAGCATCCATGCAAGCTGGGGTTGCAGGGCAAGAGGGGGTTGTGGATGCTTACCTGGACACTGCAGCTAGTCAAGGCAGAGAACGCATCAAAGCCCGGCACCCAGGATATCACGATCCCATGGGCTGTTCTGTTGAGGACGTGCACGCTGGCGGGTGCGGATGGTATTCCTGCAGGGAAAAGCCAAGAGCAGTCAGCTGGAGGGCTACGCACAAACGTGGCATGGCTGGCTTCCCCCGGGAAGCTCCCGGGGCTCCGACTGATGGCATGCGAACCCCAGGTCTCCTGCCCTGGCTGCGGTTGCATCCTCTATCAGTGTACCGCGGATGTGTCAGACCACGGGACAGGGAAGCAGAAAAAAAGTCATTTGCAGGACTATTCTGACCATGTTCTATATTTGTGAGCTCTCTAGGCTGCTTAGAGGCAATGACATATTTTGGGGAACACCTTCCTCACATTGCTGGAGTGGCTCCCATCAGGAATGTCGAGAATTTCCACCATTTCCTATGGAAAATTGTGAGCACCGCCCTGGTTGTGAAGGAAGGAAAAGAGTGATACAGCCCTTCCGAAACCCGCTCTGGGGCTGACAGTTCTGCTTTCAAATGTGCTTTCTGGTGCTTCCTCCCACGGCAGCGATACTGGGATGACAGAACCACACCAGGTGACTGTGCTACTAATGTGTGTCCCGCTTGATTTTAAATATAGGTTAAGGAAAAATAAATGTGGGAGTCCTAAAAATATCTCCTTCAGCTTGTGTAGAACGAGTGCTTGGAAGTGTGGAGACCAGGAGAGCTCCTGGTTGGACACGTACCCAACAGCTAAAGCGAGCACCATGTTCCCTCTTACCTTTCACGTTGACCTGCCCCGGGCTGGAGGCAGTCAGCCCCTTGCTGTTGTGAGCCTCGCAGCTGAACAGTGCCGATTCGTTAAGACCTGTGGAGGGAAAGCCAAGGACCTGTTCATTGAACCTGCACCAAATGCCCAAATCACCCCAGTTCTCCACCTGTGGCTCACAGAAAAACCCTCACGGCTTCCTTTCTTCCACTGTTGCTTTATTTTTTTTTCCAGCAACACAAAAGAGCTTTTATTTTGCACTCATCGCTTCTGCGCCAGCTGCCTGGGGGTGACCCCGGCGATCCAGCCCACCCACCTTCCATGCCGCCATCACGTGCATGCTGTCAGTGCGAGACACGGCACAGCCGGCAGGACCCTACATTTCTACGGCACCATTGCACAACCTCCTGAGTAAGCACTTGTTTCGCCTTCAAAAAGGGAAAGGCAGAAAGCAGAAGAGCCCACCACCACGGCTTGAAATCAGATGACTTATTGCTTTTCGAAGATTGCTCAAATCTCCCAGCTGATAATGGAGAACGACTGCTTTTGGGGGCCACTGGAAATACCCTAATGTGGACGGCTGCTTATTTTCCCCAGGGTGTTGGAGATGACCCCGGGCAGCAACAGCACGTAGGACTTTCGTCTCATGGAAAGGACTTTTCTGGAGGAGCAGGGCTGTCCCTCCTGGGCACGCTGCTTGCGGCTGTCGCAGGGCGAAGGGCTCGCTGCGGTGCGCTGGACACGCCAAACGTTTGCTCGCACCAGCAGCCGTGCCACTCGGTGTGACAGAGCTCCTGCGCCAGGAGGGGACTGTTCAAACAACCCGACCTCACATCTGCTCACACCAGCAGCCGTGCCTCTCAGTACAATGGGGCTCCTGCGCCAGGAGGGGACTGTTCAAACGACCGACCGGACCTCGCGTCTGCCAGCCGGATGCAGGAACATCCAGGAGGAATGAGTCATTTCTTCCGGCTTTCACTGCCTTTTAAAGACTGCCTTTGGATGCCAAGGCAAGGCACTTATAGTCTGGCTGCTAATTAGCGAGTGGCCTTCTCCTCGTGAGCAAATCAAGCAATCCCTCCTCTCTTTTGCCTCTGCAGCAAAACCACAATCGGTTGTAGTGACACGAAGGATTTTTCACCCTGTGCTCCACCAGGTGACACGGAGACACGCTGCAGGGGCCAAGCCCAGGTCTTCCCGAGACATTCCGAGGAGACGTCCAATAAAGAGGCCCTGAAGAGCAGCAGGGCACTAGTTGGCATGGCCACAGGCTGGGAGAAAAATCTGCTCTTGCTTAGGAAAGAGCAGTTTGAGTGTCCGGCCTCTTCCGAGGAAGAGATTTCCGGCAGCAGCCAGAGGGGGACGGATGGGGGTTGCTGCCCCCAGCCCACCCCTCGCAGAGTGGTCCCCAGGGCTACCAAACAAGCGGCACAGATGGTGCCAGGCAGAGCCATGCTCCCAGCACTGAGGATGTAGTGATAACAGCCTGGGACTCATTTTTGCAAACTGGTACCTCTGGGGTCCCTCTTTTGCAAAGCTGGAACCCCGTCCCACTGTATACAATTTGTCAGCTGTATTTTATACCAAACCACCTGGGAAATTTATCTGCGCTGAGCTTTCCAGTCAAAGACAAAGACAAAAGCAAGCTGCAACGGCCTTGATGGCACACAGCCCCTGCCTAGCAGGAGGTGTGAGGCCAAGGGGATGGGCTGTGAGGCGGCACAGGACACCTTCCCACCCTGCCCTTCACTGCAGGCACGCAGAGGGGTCCCGGCCGGCCGTGGCGAGGACGCTGCAGGGCTCACCTGGCACGGTCAGGACAGATGGGGAGATGTGGGGCTTCTCATTGACTTGGACATTGTTGCGAAACCAGTAGATCTCCACGGGCTCTGGCGGGCCCACGGCTTGGCATGTGAGGTTGAAGGGACTGTTCTTGGTGACGTTCAGCTTCTCAGGCTGACGAATGAAGTGCGGGAGCCCTGCATGGACACAGGCAGATAAGCAAGAGATTCAGAGAGCTCAGCAACACAGCCCTATCGACAACCCCAAACTGTCCTGCCAGGGCTCTGCCCAGCTCCAGCACAAGCCCCGTCCCACCCAGGACTCCCCACTTCTGGAGGACAGCTCCCAGATCAGAGTCCCTGGGGCTGCAGCTCAGCCAGGGCACACTGCTCCGCACCTCCAGCACGTCCACCCTCACCCTCCTCCAGCTCACCTTCCAGCTGCACCGAGATCGGATCCGACACCACCTCCATGCCTGAGATGTTGAGTTTGCAAACATAGGAGCCGTTATCCGAGCGCTGGGTGGCCAGGATGCTGCCAGAGGGAACAGACTGGGCTCTGGCAGGGAGCCTTGCCCTGCACACAGCTCCCATGGGAGGACACAGCAACACCAACCACCCCACAGCACATACCGAGCCTGGCTTTGCAAGCCCGGCTTTGGGGGCTAGGGAGCGCCTGCCTGTCCTAGTCCCATTTCCAAGCTGCCCAGCCTCCTGTCTCTCTGCAGGAGATCCCTCCAGGAAGGACAGCCCTAGTCACCTGAAGGTGGAGGTCATTGCCACCTCATCCTCATCGGCGATCTCGAAGTGGCTGGTGGCGATGCGGTCCAGCTCGTGCAGCTCCCTCCCGTCCTTCCACAGGGAAATGCTGGGGGCATCCGGCCGGAGCAGCACCTGAGGTACTTTGATGGAGCAATTAAACGTGACATCCTTGTGCTCGTTAATCATGATGTGTCGCACAGTGGGGTTAAATTTAATCTGTCGTAGAGAGCTGGCCGAGGGCTCCTCCTGGGGTTGCTCTGGGTTCTGGTGAGGCCACAGACCAGGGTGGTGGGACTCTGATGACGGGTATGGCCTCAGACCTCCACTTTGGTCAGCATCTTCTGCAAGAGAAGACCACATGCTTTGCTACCACCAGCCAGCAAGTGCCTCCTTCCAAAACCCTGCAAAGCCCTACTGCTTACATTAATAATTAAAGGCAGTTTATTTACAGATGCTCCAAAATTGCAAAAAATCTCTGAGACCTCTCGCAAGAGCCCTGAGGAGGAAACACGGAGCAGACCGAATAAGTACAACCAGCACATCCCAAAAAAATGTTTTTTAAAACAAACAGGAGCCGCACAGGCTAAAGAAAGTGCTCAGCCACTTGTCTTTTGGCAGGAAAGAGGCAGGAGCTATTTCTGCTGCATCTCACCCTGGAACTGGAATAGAAAAGGATCTCTGGGCAGGAGGAATTTGGGACTTTACTCCAGTAAACCCCTTTTGGGGGCCCCATCCCAAGCATTTTTGGCTGGGGCAGAGCAAGTGTCCCCAGCGGGGATTTCTCCAATTTTAGGCTCTTTGGTGGTGACACTGCTCCCTTCCCAGGCCAGGCTGAGCTGCTCTGAAGGAGGGAGATGCTCCCTGAGTCAACCACAAACACTTTTCGAAGCTAAGTGCCTCCACTGAGCTGCTTTTCTCGGGAAAAACAGCCGCGGGTGGATGAAGAAATGCCTTCAGACAGTGTGTAGGAGCCGTCTGCTGTTTAGTGTTGATCTCCCAGGGTCTTTTCCCAGACATTTTTCCCAAGGGAAAACTGTTTACCAGCTCTTTCCAAGGGCTTCATGCCCCTAACTACAGATCACTTAACATCTCCAGTCCTGTAACAGCGTTTCCCCCTCTCTCCCCGACCCCAACAAGACAGAGAGCACCTCCATATAAAGCCACTCCCCCCAAACAAAACTGTAGCGTTTGAAGAGATAAGATCTAGCGAACACACCACAAGTAGATGCTTTTACCAGCCTGTGTCCCAGCTTCCTGAGGCTTTCACGGGCACACAGAAATCCTGAGCAGGGTGGGAAACCTCCCTTGCTGCTTTCAGCAAGCAAAGGCATCGTGCCAGACTGGAGTTTCAGCTAAACTAATTTGTATCTTCCAAAAAAAAAATCAACCCCAAAACAAAACCCTATTCACAATTCACAAGATCATACCGCAGGTAGCAAGCACAACCTTTTTATTTAACCGGAGTTCGGCTGAGTTTGTTTTGAGGCAGGTCCTAGTCCTGAAACATCAAACAACAAGTTTTTAAAGCTACGTCACTACTATTGTGAGTAATGGAGCATGAGCCTGGTGTGCCTTCCCCGGAGCCAAGAAACACAACCTCATTTTGAGGCTGGAGATATTCTTTTGCTAAATCGCTCACTATTTTTAACCCTCAAGAAATGCTACTTCTAGAGAGAAATTTGAGAAGGGATTTTAAGTCCTGCCTGGGCTGGTGCTGCAGAGGAAAGCGTGAGGCTCTCCCTGGCTCTCACACAAAACAATGGGTTTCCCTTTTAGAAAAAAAAAAAAAAGCCCCTAAGCTTTTCCAACCTGCTTCCTAAGCTCTGCCATCCCAACACAAACAAAGCCCATGTGACTGCTGCAAAATGCAGCCGCCTGCCATCTACTCCCCGGCCGGCCGGGTCACCAGCTCTCCAACAGCCACGCAGCTCCAAAATGAACATTTGCCAAATGCAAACAAGCGACCGACCCCAAATCCCCTCCCCTGCTCCTCCCGGAGGTTACCCAGGCGGGAGCCACTCGCTGCCTGGCACAACCCACCCCAAACAGCTGTTTCCACGCTCCATTTCGAAGCTCTCCAGCTCTGTTTCCCCAGTGGGGACCCCTGGCCGGGGAGGACACGGACGGACACGTGCCTGCGGTCTGTCCCTTTGCAAGCACTCCGCCTGCTCCTGGATGATTTCTGCTCACCCACAGCTCAACCCCGTCTGCTTCAAGTTAAAAAGCAAAGAGGATCTTAGCCTTGTTTTCTAGACTAATTAAGTGGGAAAAGGTGTTTTCTGTCCCAGGAATTAAATACTTTCCTCTCTGACTCATGTGCCAACAGGAATTTCTCACATCCAGTGCTGCCTTTGGGTACCCTTTCCATCTCCAGCTGTTGGGGATGTGGATACCTTCACGGTGTCTTCGAAAGGCTTTGCCCTGTGTAGCAGGACACCCCTTACCCGTGTCCAGAGTGATTTGCTTAGGCTGGCTCCAAAAACCCACGCTAGAGCCGAGGAGCTGAAAGCCGGAGTGCCTGCGTGGGCGGCTGCCACACTGGAGCAGCTCCCCTCAATTACTGCAGCTTGGCCCGAGGGAAAAACCGGCGTGGAAATAACTCCACTTGGGAGCACAGCACTGCTCTCTTGGAACACCTGGGATCACAGCTAAACTAAAGTGCTAGCAAACGCAGATCTTACTGTGCAGCCCCATGGGTCCTGCACACCTTCTCTGTTACTCGCTTGGAGAATGGAATTTTAACAACAGAGAAAGAGGGAAGATACTTTATAATGGATGAAAAGCAAAAAGCAGGGAGTTGCACACCCCACAGCTGCAACGGTGCATGGTTCTGCTGCAGCCCCAGTACAGAAGGTACTAAAAACCACCCCCAGGTCTGCCAAAAACCTCGCTCCATCCCAGCCCTGGATTTCCCATTACTGGAAGTAATTCACCTGCTGACAGCAGCTTTCTGCTCTGGCTCTTGGTGAGTGTATCTCTGTAGGGGACAGAGGAGGGGGAATGAAGAGCTCCTGTCCGGGGGGTGTCCTACCTCCCTCTCCCCTGTGAGCCGGCAGAATGTCCCCCAGGGCTACACCTGACTTCCAAAGAGCCTTTTGGGCTCAAACACCTTTTGCACAAACCAGCCCAGGACTTCTGGTTCAATCCACAGCAAGTTCCTACAGATTCCCACTGCTCACCCTGCCCAAAGCCAACCCTCGCGTCCTGCCCTCCCTGCCAGACCCCCACTGCACACCCACCCGAGACCCCCCAGCAGCCCTGGGCAGGGGGTACAAACCCCCAGCAGCTCCCAGCCTGCCCCCAGAGCTCGGGCACGCTTGAAGTCCAAAACCTACCCTGGCCTCTTTGCATTTCTTTTTGCAGGTAACTAAGCACGTGGAGCTGAAAAGCCAGCAGTGACAGCACCGCAAAGTGTGTCCCCGTGCCACAAACCGCAGCGTTTCCCGGTGATTCTCCC